CATATATGTGGTTTCACTTGTCCACTATTTCACTTATTCCCTGTACAAGCTATATCCCTTTGTTGTTTCCTCATTAAAACCAATAGGATTTGCAATTATCAATTATTCATGTATCTATGTAAAGCCTGAGGCCCTTTCTACATTGACACTATAATGCAGCTTGGGAGATCCACTACCTCTCTCAGGGAATCAATTTACTCCCTGCTAGCTAGTCACATACTTTGGAAATTTCTTGGAAGCCCCTGTTCTTGAGTCTACAATGCACTTCCGTGGGGGCAGCTCTCTATATAGGCCAGTGGTTCTCAACCTGTGGGTCCCCAGATGTTTTAACCTTCAACACCCAGAAATCCTAACAGCTGGTAAAGTGGCTGGGATTTCTGGGAGTTGTAGCAAAAACATCTGGGGACCCGCAGGTTGAGAACCACTGGCTTATATAGACAGCTGATATAGGCAGTCCTGGGTTACAAATAAGATATTCTTCAGTCCAATTTGTATGTAAGTCAAGACAGGTACATTCTTAAGTGTAACTCCAGGCTGCAACCTTTATTTAATTTTACATAGCATTGGGAAGGGTGAACACTCCTGCAATGTTTGTTTTGCTGTTTGCGCCTCTGTACAGAAAATTTCATCTAACTTTGTATTGGTGTGACAATGAACATTTTTGGAGTTGATGTGAAAACAACGATTGGAGAGAAGACTTCTGTGGATACACCTTTACTCTTTCAGGAGTGAATTTCACTTCCGAGGGGCAGATTTCTCTCACTTCCTGTTGACTCAGCCCCATTCTTAACTATGAGTTTCTGGTGACTTTTTCAATGCACAGCTTTCTGTTTAATAGAAGCCAAGTCGGCTTCGAACTGCATTGTATGATCAGTATAGATAGGCCAGGCCTAGGCAAACTTGCCCCCCCCCCCAGGTGTTTTGGACTTCAACTCCCAGCATTCCTACCAGCCTCAGGTCCCTTCCTGAGACTATTAGGAATGCTGGGAGTTGAATCATAGAGTTGGAAGAGATGTCATGGGCCATCAAGTCCAATCCTTTGCCAAGAAGCAAGCACCACGAAATGCAGAGCCAGCCTTAAGAAATGGGGCTACAAAGTGGAATCCATGACATGCAAGTGTGGAGAAGACCAAACCATAGTCCACCTATTACAATGTAGTCTGAGCCCTGCCACATGCACAATGGAGGACCTTCTTGCAGCAACACCAGAGGCACTCCAAGTGGCCAGCTACTGGTCAAAGGACATTTAATAGAATGCCAAGTTTACAAACTTTGTATTTTATTTGTTTGTTTTTAATGCAATGCAACTGTTTTGGTTCACTCCTGACACAATAAATACATTTTGAATTATGCTCCTGTCTTCTGAGGGTATTGGCTATACCTTCCAATTTGGTGTCACCTGTAAACTTGATGATCATGCCTTCTCACCCTTCATCTAAGTCAGGTGTCCTCAAACTTTTCAAACAGAAGGCCAGGTCACAGTCCCTCAAACTGTTGGAGGGCCGGATTACAATTTGAAAAAAGCATGTATGACTTCCTATGCACACTGCACTTATCTTATTTGTAATGCAAAAACACTTATAATACAATAATTAAAATGAAGAATAATTTTAACAAATATAAACTTATTAGTATTTCAATGGGAAGTGTGGGCCTGCTTTTGGCTAATGAAATAGGATTGTTGTTGTTGTGTGCTTTCAAGTCATTTCAGATTTAGGTTGACCTTCAGCGAGGGCTGGGTAAATGACCTTGAAGGGTTGTATTCAGCCCTTGGGCCTTAGTTTGAGGACCCCTGTCCTAGAGCTTCAGAGAGCTTCTGTTCAACCATCTCAAAGGTCCCTGCTTGAGCGGTAATTGCACAATCATCAACATAGCACACAATGTGGGTGGAATTAACAGCAGATAAAACTGATACAACAAGGGCTGAGAGCGGCGGTTAACAAATGAAGTAAATAAATAAATAAATAAATAAATAGATGAAACTCTCTGTCCCTTCTGGCAATGGCTGGTCATTTGTGTAAATGTTGAACATTGATGGAGCAAGCACACTCCCCTGAGGCACTCCAAGTGGCCAGCTACTGGTCAAAGGACATTTAATAGAATGCCAAGTTTACAAACTTTGTGTTTTGTTTGTTTGTTTTTAATGCAATGCAACTGTTTTGGCTCACTCCTGACATGATAAATACATTTTGAATTCTGCTCCTATCTTCTGGAGGTATTGGCTATATCTCTCAATTTGGTGTCATCTTTAAACTTGATGATCATGCCTTCTAACCCTTCATCTAAGTCACTAACAAAGATGATGAACAGAAACTGGGACCTGGGTGGAACCCTGCTTATGGCATTCCACTTCTCACTTCTTTCCAGGATGAAGAGTAAGCCTTGGTGAGCACCCTTTGGGTTCATTCACTTAAACAATGATGGCGGCTCTGAATAATGAGCTGGCTGGATTCGGTCTGCCTTTGCAATTTCTGGGTGTTGTGGGTCCGGGGGCAGGCAAGTGCTCAAGCGGCACATTAGGGATGTCTATGCACAGCTGGACCTAGAGAGCATAGGTAGGTCTTCAGCCACAAGGTTTTTAGCTTCCCACAAAAGGAATATTCATTTAGAGCACTACCTAACTATTCCACTTCCTCTACCCTTAAGAAGAATATATACTAGGGCTAGGTTTGAACAACTCGGTACTGTGGTGCAAACCGGGCGTTACTGTAACATCCCAAGAAGTGAGAGATTCTGCATCTGGGGAGAACAAACAGTGGAAGACATTGAACATTTCTTTATTGACTGTCCAGCATACACCGAACTGCGAGACAGATATTTACATCCAATATTATCCAACTGCAGGTCCCCCAACAGAAATGATATTCTGACATCCCTCTTGCAAGGGCAGGAAAGATCCAGCATAATCAGAGTAAGCCTTTTTATTCTGAAAGCTATTAAGAAAAGAGCAGATTTCCTGAAAGAAGAACCAGGAAAATAAGATTCTGACCTTGTTGCCTTGTTTTTTACTCGTGTTTTATTTTGAAATGGTCATATGACTGATCAAATAAATAAATATTATCTATATTATCAGAAGGGCCCAAGTTTGCCCATGCCTGAGATGGGCCCTCAGAAGGTATCCTCAGGGACTGTACTGCATACAGGGCCATAGCCAGAAACATTTTTTGGGGAGGGTTGAAACTTTTTTTAGCAAATCATGAAGAGTAGTTCGATAACACGACAACAACATTTTCAATACAGTCCAAAGACCCTTATTGCTCCGTAAAAGGTATAAGATACAAGATATGCAAGATTAGTAAGGCCAAAAATAGCCAAAACTGATTGAAGCACACAATGTGGGTGGAATTAACAGCAGATAAAACTGATACAACAAGGATCAAAACTTATAACCAGCATTTAAGATAGCAATGACCTAGGTAAAAGACTACAAAGGGTAACAGGCATGTTTCATCGTGCCATAACACAAAATACTTTAAATTATATGGTTTCTAGTATATTTTATATAGACTTCATTAAATCAAATTTCTATTTTAGTTAAAGTTTCAAGTCTTAAAATAACTGAAAATGATTGCTAATTGATTTTTTTTTGTCATGTCAGGAGTGTCCTGTTGTGAGAGAATTGGCCGTCTGCAAGGATGTTGCCCAGGGGACGCCCGGATGATTTTGATGTTTTATCTATCATCCTTGTGGGAGGCTTCTCTCATGTCCCCACATGAGGAGCTGGAGCTGATAGAGGGAGCTCATCTGCCTCTCCCCGGATTCGAACCTGTGACCTGTCGGTCTTCAGTCCTGTCGGCACAGGGCTTTAACCCACTGCGCTACCGGGGGCTCCATGGATAATTTAATCCATGCTAATTGATAATTTATAGTTACAAAAGAATACAACTTTTGTTAGAAACACTGTCAATACACTTTGACAGAAATCAGGCTCTATTGATAAACTTCAGTGGACACTCAAGAGTGCAAGTCCAGTCAGTCTTTCTTGCCTCATTGTGCTTCTTGTGTATGTTTTCAAACGTTTAAGGGTTGAAAACGACCTTTCATTTGTAGCTGTTGAAATTGGCAATGTTGCAGAAACCTGAAGACGTTTCTTCACATTCGGAAAAAACTGTCCATCACAGACAAGATAAGATATGCTTCCAGTGCATTTGATGGTTTTTCTGCAGGTGCAATCTCATAGACTTAGCATGGGGATTTGGTTAACCCAGTGATGGGCAACTTTTTGAGCTTGGTGTGTCAAAATTTACCAAAAACCTGAGCATAACTTGGGTGGAGTGTCACTTTGAGAAAAAAACAACATAATTTTGCAATATTTATAGTTTAAATAAGAAAAATGTATAATCTGTGCTGAGTTATGGAGTGAACAATGCTCAAACGTGCAGATGCTAAATTTGTAATGCCTTTTACAAGTTTAAGGATGGAATTAGATTGGCTCTTATAAGGTGTATTTCTCTGTATGTGGTCGCATGTGTCTGCGTGTCATCAAAAATAGCCATGCGTGTCAGTGCTGACACACGTGTCATAGATTCACCATCACGGGGTTAACCAGTTAAAATTCATGAGTAAACCAGGTTTTTTTTTAACCAGAAAAATTTCGAGGGGGGAGGGGGGGGAATTGAATCCCTAACCCCCCCCCCCCCCCAACCTGGCTACAGGCCTGCTGCATGTGTCCAATGGTAGTAGGAGGCATATCCCTCACAGAATGCCATTCTTGACTCTCGCCTTCAGAAAGACATCATGTGAGGAGCACTTTGTGCCTACACAGGGCGCCACTTCTCCCTTGGTAACCCTCCCCTCTTTCCCTCAACTATGCATGTGGGTGTGTGTGTGTATCATTTGTTGCTGTTCTGATACAGACAAGGAGCAAACAGGGCGATTCTGTGCTTCGCCTGCGCCTGGCCGGCCTCTTCAGCACTCTGGCTATCTCCTCCTCAGCCTTGAAGGGCGGTCGCGAGGTATTTATAGCCTGCCGGCCGGCTTGCCTTCCTAGCGCGCGCGCGAGAGAGAGAGAGAGCGAGCGCGCGAGCGAGTGGGGGGCGCACCCCTCGCCCCTCCGGTGGGAAAGGGGCGGAGCCTGCGCGGCCGGGGCGTGTGTTGCGTGAGTCCACCGAGCCCAGCCCCGGGCGAGCCGTCCACCTGCAGCCATTTGCCGCCGCCTCACCACCGGCCGAGGCCGCAACACCTCGCTCGCGGAGAGAAGACGCACCCCGTGGACGGCGACGTCGGCTCCGAAGGCGGGATGGAGGAGGAGGAGGGTAAAACAAAACCAAAACAATGCTCCCAATCCAACCCACCGGCTCAATGGCTTTCCTCGCTTTCCTCTTTCCCAAGCGGTCCTTTTTCGGCGGGTTGGCGCCTTGACTTCTTTCTTCCCCTTGGAGATGCGCTTCTGAGGCGGAGGAAGGCCAGTGGGTGGTCCTTTCTGGGGGGAAATGGAGAGCCCTCGCCGCCTCAGAGCCACTTCTTTGTTCTTGGCGACTTGGAAGGGTTTTTTTCGTCGAGAGGGGGATTGTCCCCCCTTTCCACACGTCGCAGAGAAAAGTTACTCCCCTCACAGCATTTCCCAGGGGTGCTGTTGTCTATTGCAACTTTTGCTTAACCCCTACGCCTGAGTCTGGCTGTGCAGTATCCTCAGCTGCCCTTTCACGTCTTGCCTTTTGGAGCACTTTCTTTCTTGGGAGGAGGAGGAGGAGGAGGGCTGAGTCCCAAATCTCTCCCCGCCAGCAGTGACTAAAACTATTCATGCCCTTATCAGCTATGGCCACTGACTGACTAACTTTGCTCCCACAAGGGAAGTCAAGGAAGGGGCTGATTGAGAAGGACCCAATGCAATCCACCCATTTAATGTAAATAAACCCACACCCTCAGAAAAAAAAGAAAGAGATTTCACCCTTCCTCCTCACACTCTTTTGCTTATTTCCACTCATTTAAAAAAAACAAACTAGGAAGGTTTTATTTTATGTATTGCTTCAGATTTCCTTTTGTGTTTGAGTGCTACAGAATGAATGGACATCTGTGTGTTATATAAAGCTAGTATAAAGAGACTTCTCTCATGGGGACCTGGAGCTGACAAAGGGAGCTCACTCACACTCTCCCTGGAGTCAAGCCTCCAACCTGTTGGTCTTCAGTCCTGCCTACACAAGGGTTTAACCCATTGTACCACCAGGGGCTCCTTCAAAGATAGTAGTAGTGTAGTAGTAGTAGTAGTAGTAGTAATAATAATAATAATAATAATAATAATAATAATAATAATAATAATAAGCTTTATTTTTGACCTTCCCTCTCTCCCCAAAGGGACTCAAGACAGCTTCCAAAGACAAAAAATGGCAAACATTAAATGCCATGTACAATAAAACAGGTTTTTTTCTGTGTCAGGAACAAACTTGAGAAACTGCAAGTTGCTACTTGTGTGAGAGAACTGGCCATCTGCAAGGATGTTGCCCAGGGGATGCTTGGATGTTTTGATGTTTTTACCATCCTGTGGGAGGCTTCTCTCACGTCCCTGCAGGGGAAGCTAGAGCTGAGATTGGAGCTCACCCCGCTCTCTGGATTTGAACCGGCAACCTGTCGGTCCTCTCCATAGGCTAACATACAAAAGTAGGTTTTTAGTTGTTTCTTGAAGGAGAGGAGTGAAGGGGCTGTCCTGATTTCTTTAGAGAGGGAGTTCCAGAAGAAAGGGCCATGGAGAAAGCCCCCTTTCTTGTCCCTTTTTGAAACTCTTTACTCTACTACTAGTAAGGTAAAGATAAAGGTTTCCCCTTGACATTAAGTCTAGTCATGTCCAACTCTGGGGGATGGTGCTCATCATTTCTGAGCTGAAGAGCCATGACCTTGGAGATGCCTACAGACACCTCCAAGGTCATGTGGACAACAGGACTGCGTAGAGCGCTGTTACCTTCCTGCTGGAGCAGTACCTATTGATCTAATCACATTTGCATGTTTTCAAACTGCTAGGTTGGCAGCAGCTGGGGCTAACCGTTAGAGGTCACCCCACTCCTCAGATTTGAACCACAGATCTTTCAGTCAGCAAGTTCAACAGCTCAGTGGTTTAACCCACTGCGCCACCGGGGGCTAGTAACAGTAATTTATTTAATATTTAGACCAGGGGTCCTCAAATTAAGGCCCAAGGGCCGGATACACCCCTCCAAGGTCATTTACCCGGCCCTTGCTCAGGGTCAACCTAAGTCTGAAACGACTTGAAAGCACACAACAACAGCAACAACAACGAATCCTATCTCATCAGCCAAAAGCAGGCCCACACTTCCCATTGAAATACTAATAAGTTTATATTTGTCAAAATTGTTATTCATTTTAATTATTGTATTGTTTTAAAGTGTTTTTTTGCACTACAAATAAGGTATGTGCAGTGTGTATAGGAATTCATTCATGTTTTTTTTCAAATTATAATCCAGACATCCAACAGTTTGAGGGACTGGGACCTGGCCCTCTGTTTAAAAAGTTTGAGAACCCCTGACTTAGACCATAGGTCTTTCAGATTCAGGACAAATAAATGCATCAAAACCAGATTAATAAATAATAATCAAATACTTTTTTGCATCCCATCCCTCTCCCTGAGGGCACTCGCAGTGGCTTACAACAATGTACCGATATAAACAAAGTAAATGGTAATAAACATATAGACAATTTAAATTAAGCAATGAGCAATAATAAGCAAGTATATAAAATTAAAACTATCATATTAAGTATAAGATAAGAGACAATAACATACAAGATACACCATTAAAATACTACATAAACCATTAAAATGCTACATAAATCAATGGTGAGATGCACCCTTAAAATACTATATAAAATACTATAAATGAACAACTTCTTGCATAGTTAAAAAACCAAGACAAATTCAGTATTATTAAAACTTAAGCAAGAAACATTCTAGATATAGACAACCACACAATGATCAGATAAAAGCTTCCCCAGAACAGTTGATTGCAATATCAGAAATTAATCTTGCCCAGGTTTTCAAAGCTACCAGAGCAAAAAAGAGATACCCCATGAGTAACCCTATAGTTACAAAGATGTGGTTACTAATTTTAATTTCCCAAGGAAAAGAAAATGAGATGTGTATATGCATGTGTAAACACACTCCTGTAGCCAAATGCAAAGACCTCCACAGATTTTGAACCACACTTCTAACAAGAGTTTCCTGAGTGCAAGACCCTTTTCACACAACACAGTTGCAGCCCTGTGGTCCCACTTTAATGACTATGGTTGCATCTCAGACTACACCACTAAGTCTGTATAATACTATAATTCCAGTAAAGTGTGTATTCTAGCTGAAAAATCTAAAGACCTCATGAAACTATAAAGTCTTCAGTTCTATACTATACAGCCACAATATCTAAAGTGGAATAATAGTATTCTATATCTTTAGTTTTTAAAGGCCTCTAACTCGTCACATCTGCATAATGCTAGTTGTTCTGTTGCTGTAGTCCGCTCTTTACTAAGTTGTGGATGGGATTGGTTCAAAAGTTCACTTGCAGAGAGAGAATACTGTCAGTGCATTGAAGAGACCTGTATGCCTAGTTGGGTGTGCTCAGGTTTATTGATTTCCAAAGATTTGGGCACACCTAAAGCAATTTAAGGTAACGTTGCACATGTGCCAACCACAAAGGTTAGAGAAAGTTAAAATATTCTGTCCAAAATATTCTAAAGTAAAAATGTAAAAGTAATTATTTCTCAAGAGTATGGTTCCTTTGCTGCCCTTCATTTACAATTTGGTAAATGGAAACTTTAAAAGTCACGAATAAAAACTCATACATCTAATTTAGCATGTATTTTAATACCTTTTATTTTCTCCAAGGTGCACAGGACGATGTGCTTGATTCTGTTCCTCTTTCATCCTGCTTGACAACAAATCTGCTAATAAATGGAAACAGTAATAGAGGCCAGGTCACCCAGAGAACTTCGCAAGAATTCAAATCTAGGTCTCCGCAGATCATGTTTACAGCTCTTTTTAGTTATATATCTTCCTAGGGCTGGTGAAGTACATGCTGGTGCCCCCTCCTTATGTCATATACAGAGAATGGCTGGATTGGCAGGTGAATCTTACTTTAGTATTGGGACAGAATAGCATCCCCCACATCAGGAGCAACAGCCTAGTCTAAAGCCCCCAAAACAGACAGTATTACATGCATGGGTGTGTCCCTTAACAATAGGGAATTGCTGGTGACTTTAGAGGATTAGCTGAGATGCTGCTATGAGCATCTTCTGCTTCACAGTAATGAAACATAGATGTTAGCACCATCTATCTCTGTAGGGCTGGAATACCTGTCCTGTAGTATAGCATAGCACAGAAGGCCATGTCCGGGCACTGAAACAAATACAGTCAGTTTCAAGCATTAATTTGCAGGACTGCTTTTTGAATAACATGAGAATTTAGACCCTTATAGTGAGATAGGCCTGCAAGATGCCTCTAAGTTTGTGATCAATACCAGATTCTCAAATGCTTCTACATACACTCTGTGTTTTCCCCAAGTATTATTTTTCAGTGGCCTAACTTAGCAAGACAAATTGCAGTACGACTTAGAAACCTTAGCTGATATACAGCAAATTACCCAGAATCTACTAGTAAATCCAGCTATCTTTTGCACATTCCTAGTATATACCAAGTGGCTGCATCTCTTCAGTTTTCTGATTGGTAACTTCTCCAGCTGTGTTTGTGTGTATGCAGGTCGCAATTTAGCAACTATGCCCCCCCCCCCCCCCGATGCTAGTGTCAGAAATAGCGTTGACAGATCAGGACTTTCTCAATCAGCACTAAATTCTGAGACCCTTGGGACAACAACTTGTGATGTCACAAGAGGGGTCTTGGTGATGTTGGAAGGCGATGTTACAAGGGGCAGCCCATTATGATGCCATTGAGGATGATGCAGTAAACATGAGCCACAGCTAAAACACCAATTCTAATACATGAGAAGCAACACATGTAAGGCAGTGCTCTTGCCCTGAGGACTGGAGAAGTGTGGGTAGGCCCTGACACCTTGCAACCCTAGTATAATGTGCACCTACTGTCTTCTAATTGATAGATTTACCAGGGATTTTCCTAAATGGTTGAGTGGCTAAGTTGAACATATGTTCATACTGAAGTAACTAAGAATGGGCTGTTTTTTGGAGGTGGCCTTTTTGTTGACTTCAGAAAGGTACACACTCAGCATCCCTAATCTGGAATTCAAAAATTTGAAATATACTGTCTGAAATCAACATGCAAGACACAGCTGCCATAAATAATTTACAT